AATAGCAAAAATAATGTATTCAAAAGGATGAACAAGACGTGTGGAGCCAAGATTTACAATTTAAGTAAATAAAGTAAAAAAATCATACATGGACAGTTGATATTAAGAAATGAAAGAGAGTCTCACTATACAACTTCATAGTGGAAAGATAATTTAAATGTTTGATATCAGGCGAAGAAATAAGACAAAGCTATAAATGAAATATTATGTATGTAAAAAAGGAAGGAAGCATTATAAACCGAGCATTTGTGTTGGTACCTTGATAAAAGATAACTGATATCAGTTAAGCATCAAGTGAAAAGTTTTATGAGGCCTTTCTAGGAAGAACTTTTGCCTATCAAAGTAGTGTATTTGTAAAAATAAACTCCGACACACATAATAATAAAGGCAAAGAAATAATGAGTTTGAGTAGAATGTATAAAGCCATCCAAAATACCGGTGAAAGAATATGGAAAATAGGAGTGGTGGGCATTGTAGAGAGCTTTAGAATCTTTGGCAGACAACCATTCAGCGTGCGCAGCTTGTAGTTTTGAAGGTGGATTATCTATACGGAGTTGCAAAGCAGAGGATACTAACTCTTCGACTGGATGTCTTTTGGGGAGGTTTGTGAGTGTGTGGTAGAGAGTTCCAAAATCGGCAGGTGTTGAATGAACCTTCTCGGCACTCTTTAGTATTACTGCGACGGAGAGATAAATGAGCATATAGTTGTCAGAAGCAATAAATAAATCATACAGACGATGTATATCTTGATTACGAGGAAGAACATGAGCAAACCATGTTATGACCCATGATAAAGCAAAGTGGGGCCCTAGACCAACAGAGTTAATGCACTCAAATAAAGAAGGAGCAGCAAGCTGCAGCAGGATAAGTATGCATTCTATTTGAGCTTCTGTTGCATGCATCGATTCCTGCATAAAAACGCTGAAAAGGGCATAATTAGCCAACTATAAAGAAGCATTAAATACTAATAGGGAAGAAAAGTAACTTACCCCAATCTTGTTTTCACCAGTTTATCTAATGCATTAAATGCCATTGTGTCACCCAAAACGCAAAGAATAATCAAGGAGATATCATGAAATCCCTAGAGTCAAAAAAA